CTTGTCTTGATTGTGTCCCTCTGGAGGCACAAATTAATATTTTTGGAATTCACAAAGTTGCGATTTAGCGGGGGATTTGCAGAGGTATGGAATCTGTCACCAACCACATACCGCTGGATAGACTGCGTCAATGGATGCTGCAAAGCAAGGCTTGCGTGCCTGAGGGACTTTTTGCTATCAAGTTTGTTTGCACTGAATTCTGCAGTCACCAGTTCAGGAACACTGACCTGTTAAAAAAAGTGAAAACAGGGTTATGACATTTTCACAAACATAAGGTTGTATTTTCAGGGAGTAATCACAGACTATATTTTACCACCTCCCATGTTTATAAAAAAATTTTAGGCTAGTAAATGTAGTGTTAACCTCTTAAAACTGATCACTCAAAGGGATGATTGGTTTTACTGGTTGTACTGGTTTGTATGGAGCAGTAAAAAAAATGGAAATCAAAGCACGACTCAATTCAATATGCAGTCTCAAAACAGCAGGATAATTTCTTGCATACAAGTGTCTACAGATGGACCTATAATAAAATATAACCAAACACTAAACTGTGTAAATCAAAACGCAACAAGAAATGGTAATGGCAATATATTAGATCAAAAATCCAAAGCAACATTCAGATCGATAATCATTAATGTTGATCATACATGAAGCTTCACATACAAAAAAATAATTTTGTCTAAAAACTCAATAAGCTTATAATTTTAATAAAAATAATACAAGAGCAATATTGTACCTCCTTTGGTTTAGTGCCCAGAGAGGGTTTTTCAAAACAGCCCAAATGGTCACCCCAAAACTATGATGCAATGACGGGCTCCCTAAGGTCCAAATGCCGAGCAAATCAACATGGTGTGTCATTCACCAAAAGGAGTGGAGGATACTTTAAGGAAAGGTATAGATCAGCAGCATCTCTAACAGATTCTTGTAAAAGTTGGAACTTTGATGCCACAGTTGTCTAAAAGGAGAGAATTTCAAAGAAAAATATGTTTCATAGGGTGCTCAAGCAATGTAAAGCTATCAAGTAAAGAAAAGAAGCCTAAAACCCGAATAAATCCATTAACTTCTTACAAGCCGAGACGAAAAGGAATCCCAAACTCAAGTTTAACACAAACATTGTTTTTAAAATTTAACTGTGTAAGTTTGCATTAGGCACATTTAAGTTTTTGTTCTGTGCACTCCTGACTGCAATTTTAGTATTTTGGGTTCAGTATCACTACAATTTCAGTACAAATTCGTCAAAGATTGTGAATATGGCAAATAAGAAAAAATAATATGCTGCAGTCGTTTTTTTGAATGTAGAGATGGAAAAAACAAATTGTGACACGTCCCATGGCGGCACACCATGTGATAGAATCCATCAGTTTGGCCACGTACACGGGTGAAATCATGGCATGGCGAAGATCCAGTTAGCAATGACGAGAAAAGAGATTGAAGTCTTTGGATAAGCAGTGCCTAATGAATAGGAGACATAATACCATAACATCACGTTAACATTCAAAGTTTACAAACCTAATTTTTCCATAATAACAATTAAATTAACAAAATAATAAAGTCACATCTGACATTTTCTTTAATACTCTATGCTTGACTCTCATACATAAACTGATATTCTATTCTAACTACCAAATGATCAAAAGTTATTATAAATGAAAGGTTTAAGGCTCACTGCTCTAATTTTAGGTTTCATAGCTACAGTGACAAGGGTGGAGAATGGTAAAATCAAGCATTGCCGAGAATTAAACATTTTTGTCTACAAGGCAAAGACCTTTTTCAGTTTTTAACTTGCGAGACCAAGATCAAGACTAAAAAAAGCTTTTCAGAGAAATAGAGATGTGATACAAACAGAAATGTTCAAACAACGAGACTGAGACCAATGAAAGTTTAATGATTGTCTTACTCTGGGTTATGACATTTCAAGGGAGCAAATTAAAACTCGGCAGATCTCAAAAAAATTAAAAACACTTTATAGCTGTAACATTGGCCAACCTGTTAAACTACACCAGACCTCTCAATGCAGCAATAATTATTGGGGGTACAACAATAAAGATTTGCAACATGGCTATGCTCCCCAGGTCAAATGAACATTTCCAAATTTAGTCACTCTCTGAACAGGATGCCAATTGATTTGATAAGTTCAAATAACTACAGAGTGCTGTATAAATTGGTAAGATAAATGTAGCCAGCGATATGCACATCCCAGTGGTGGATCCAGAGGAGGGGCTCAGGCTAGTAGATGGCTTTTATACTCTGAATGAAGCCATTTTGTTTTGGAAACTTCGAAACGAAAAAAGAAAACAGGGAAAGAAATGAAATTTGTGTTTCAAGTGATTTCATGCCAAAGGTTAGACCAGAAGCATATGCTTCTGGTTAGACTTAAAACGTAGAAAATCATTAACAGATATCTTAAACGCAAGAAAAACAGATAGTCCCTTCTTTCGATAATAGGCCTTTTTGCAACAAACGACCACATGTACAAAATCCGCTATGCTGGAGGGCAAAAGAATGTGACGGCCTCCGAAACTTTCCTTGTTTTGGATTCCCCAGTGCTGGAATAATAAGCTTGCCCTCCAGTGTGGCGGATTTTGTACCGCGTGACCGTTTGTTGCAAAAGGCCCATTACATCAAGAAGTTAAAAAATGAATCCATCAGCAAAACAAACTTTATGTTAGCTTTGACAGAATGCTTGTTCAAATGACTAGAATCATGACAAGAAAGTAGCCTGCAAGCCGACTTCACTTGGTGGAGTAGCTGACGCTTCTCATCCGCCGTCACTGCTTGGTGAGTATTCATACAGAACAATTTAACATGACCACATGCAAGTTTCTATGTCAATTGAAAGATATACCATAGTAGACCCGGAACAGGCTCATGGTTGGAACACAGTAGCTAATTCTTGGAGCTCTTGCTGCTCCATGTGAGTGGGCCTAATTCTGCCCATTTCAAGATTTTGTTTGCATTTACTAGCATCATTATCAAACTTGGAAAACACCTTTGTTCATCCAGTAAACCAGAAAAACATGCTATATCTGTAATGCTTACTCAGAAAATAAAGATATTGGATATTACTTCACCTTATCTATGCTAGAGCAATTCTTTTCATTACCATCATCAAAATAAACCTGACCAACAACACCACAAATTCCACAGATTGCATCATCCATATTTCGTTCAGAAATCGATTCAAATGCA